AAATATGGAACAAAGACAAACATCTATATACAATCAGAGATAATCATTTGGAAACCATCAAAGGGGATGGGAAGCCATAAGGGTGGGTCTAGTGAACTATGTACAAAGAAAACATGGTAATAAAGGCAGCTAGATTGGTCGGTGACTATGCTTTCACAGAACGAACCTACTAAAGGACCATATAGAGAAGCCATATTGTGAAATAACACGAGATTATCCGGTACAAATCAATTAGGCATTTAAAAAAAAGTTGGATGCATGGTTTTAACAAAATTTGATATACATAAATTGTCTTTAAAAAATCCAGATTTATGAATATGTTTAAGAATTGTAAAAAAATGTGAAAACTATAACATATAAAGGATATACAAAAAAAGGTTGAGTGAAATTGTTAAGATAGACGTGAAAAGCATTGGGTGTTAAGAAATTCAATAAGTATATGTATAGTACTTAAAGTACAAAGTAATTATGCAAAAAAACATGTGAAGATTCATTTGCAAAAGCATTTTTGAACATTGTGGAACAATTATGAACATAGGGCATACATGCTGTGAGAAATGAATAAAAGAAACCGTATTCATAAATATAAAAAATAATCAGGATTAATATTGTGAATGTAACTGTATGGGAAATAGGGGGCCTGTGGCTTACTAGTGTAAAGAAATTCATAAATGTCTTGGGGGAATAACCGAGTGGTATACTACTTGATAAGACTGTCGTATGCCCTTGGGATAAATAGACCAGGATCGCGGTTGAGTTCTGGATGGTACCTTTTAATGTTGATAGCTTCTAAGAGTTTCCTTGTCTTTTTGTTGTGTTGGTTTACTGTCAGTGTTTTTGTATCTTCCCAATTCACTTTGTGACGACCATTGTTGTTAAGATGTTGGGCTATTGCAGAGGTATTGTTGGCTGCTAGGGATTGGTGTTCTTTGATACGGGCATTTAACGGGCGTTTAGTTTCTCCTATGTATGTCTGGCCGCACGAACACGAAACTTGGTAGACATATCCTTTTGGTTGTTGTGGGATGGTTGGGTCTATTTTTCCGTTGGCTCGTAGTAAATCTTTCAGGGTGCTGCTGCTGGAGAAGACCGTGTCAATGCCTGCCTGTTTCAGGATCCTTCTGATGTGATATGATGAACTGCCGTTGAATGGTATGCTGACGCGTATGGGTGAAGGGTCTATTCTTGCTGGCTTCACTGTAGAGTGTCTGGGTGCTATTGTGGAAGGAAGAAACTGCTATGCATGGCCAGGGTCTGGTTTACTCATAGGCATATTCATATATAGGCATAGTATGTCATGGGCCTAGGTCAACCAATCTGACGTGCAATGTGCCAGCGTATATGGTCAGATCTAAATATTAAGGCTACCTGCAGATTTCGTCAAGGGCTCGTGATTGATTCCGAGGATTGTGGGTTAGGTTTAAGAATTTGGGGGAGAGTTATAGTCTCCACATAAGCACTGGCCTAGGATGATGGAAATTTAGTTCGTGGTATTTCCTAGTTTTATAATAAAAATATGTATTAAACATGATTATATGTATAAGTAGAAATGACTAAATTTATACAGGAAATATCCCAAACTAGGGCTCCATCAGCCTGGCACGGGCAAGGGTTGGGTTTAAGAGTTTGGGGGAGATGATGATGGAAATTTAGGTCGTGGTATTTCCTATATAGTTTTATAAAAATACATAATATACATTAAATTTATTTTTGGTGGGTGGTGGCGCTGATGATCTGCAGGTGGAGCTGGTGGTCTTCAGGTATTTATGTTTCTGAAGAAAAAATGTAACTAAATTGAGGCTCTAGAGTGAGAGCCACATTAGTGTATTTTTTTTAATATGGATTGAATTTTCTAAAAACGTTTTTGTTCCACTATCCCAGGGGATTCTTATAGTTATATCTAGTTGATTTTCAGGTGATTTTCCTGGAGATCAGTATAGTGTTCTCTGATGATTTTGGATGCACTTGCTACGGTTGTGCTAAATGGGACTACAAAGGGCGCTATTGCGATAGCCCCAAGGGGGGCAGTTGTTTTCTATTTTTCAACCCCGATTTTTCTCTTGAAGTAAGTAAATCCGATTCTGGCCATAATGCTAGTCACGTGATTGTACATAGGCCCATATTCCATAAACGCGTTTTCGCGGAGCTTTCGCGCATTTTTTTCGCTGCGAAAAAGAAGGCAGTCTAATGCTAATGTAATGGAACCGTTTCCATGTAACCGGCGAAAACACGCGCAGAAACGCGTACATGGAAAACGGACGTTACAATGTTTTGAGGAATTCTGGAGCTGCCTACCAAAGATGTAGGCCTATATGATTATTAGTGCTTCTGACTTTAGTCTACGTAAAGAAAAGGAAGACACCACTCCCACTACCCCCCATCCCCCCTTTTCTAATATTTACTTTGCCACAGCCCCCTTGTCTATATTTAGCACGAAATAACGCTTTTGTTTACAAGTAGGCCAAGGTCTTCTTTAAAAGGGTTTTAGAAAGTTCATCGGGATTTTATGGCCGCTGTTCCCCTTTTTAGTCTGGCAAGGGACAACGTATAGTTGTTCGGATGGGACGAAAACCGCGGTCCCGTGTACTCATTGACATACACGTAAAAGAACCCTTGACATTTCTAATTGGAAATATAAAATAGGCCACTGTCAGAGCAAAATTTCGGTGAAAAACAGTGTTTGTCAGCAGGTGTTCAAATTCAACACTATTGTTGCTGCCAAGAAAACCCTTTCTAGCACCTCGGTTGTACATGACAAGGATTAGGGTCGCCTGTCCAACATCGTGGGTTTTCTTCGGGTCCTCCGGTTTCCCCCCACTGCTAAGACCCCTACGCGCAAGCAAATTATTGAAATAAAATTGAACCGTGTTTTAGTCCCGGAATAACCTAGTTTGTGTCGAGTGGACGTTAAACCCCATTCTTTCTTTCTCCCTTTCTGGCAATAGTAGCCCACTGTTTACCGTCTGCTTCTACTAGTTATACTATTATATTCTCTAGTCTTATCACTGTTCCATAACTCTCTGAAGTAAATGCCAGAAATTCATCCAGTTTTCTAGCTTATTTTCATAAAATTAACTCCTGGCTAGCGACGACCACTAAAAGGTGGGGGAAAACTTTCCGGTATTTACAGTTATTAAAGACGCAAAACTATTGCCTAAATGTATTTGTATACAATAGGGGTGTGAATGTAGCTCAGTCGTGGGCTCACTTACCAGGGTTCGATCCCGGGGATGGCCGAGAACGCTCCTGGGGATTTTCCAGTGGGGATTTCCCATGTCAAGTCGTTGGGAGGCCACATATAAAAACCCTTGTCAGTTGGAATTCGACGTTGACTATGTGGAAACACCGATGTCCGGGCAAGATTTCCCTCATAGCAGACTACATGGCGGGTACCCGCCTTCATTAGCCCGGTTGAAGCCGAATATTAGGACGTTAAAGATGCATTATGTCAGAGCCAAATTCACCTATTACAGGTCTTGCTTAAGGCCTTAAATGTTATCTAAATTATTAATTAGACATTTATAAACATGCCAAAACTATAATCACCTCGCGATGCCACCGGATGCTCTAGATTTTCAAGATATTTAAATACGATTCACACTTAATGATTTAATTTAAAATTGGATATTCCAGACTTTATTATCGTAACAACGGTAGCAATGGCAACCGTGACTACACCGTTCTGCAATTCTCTTTTCATTTAGCGAGAACTGCCTACTCTTTATCCAAATCTTACATAATGCATCTTTAAACCCCATTCATTTCTGAATAATCCAATGGTGTTCTCGAGTCAAATAATGTGCAAGATCATGCTCATAAAGATAATAAGTTAATTAATGATGAAATAGAATACAAGAGTCCATTATTATATACATAATGCGTGTCTTAACCTACACACATATATATATATATATATATATATATATATATATATATATATATATATATATATATATATATGGACAGTTCATTAAACTTTGTGATATAACTTAGCTTGTATTACTAAGCTATATCTAATAGGGTGTAGGTTCTGTAATTAAATTATCTTTTTTATCTATCTGTGTTTTTGGATTGGAAGGTGAATGGGTGTATGGGCGTCGTTTAGGAGGGAAATTCTTTGTAATTATTATTGCTATAAATTTGTATAATTTTGAGATATCTTTAAATCGGTTCATCTGGGTTGTTCAGCGTGGTTCCCCCTTGGCAGTCGTGCAGGACAGAGGAACTGGCAAGGGACACTGCATAGTCATTCGTTTGGGACGAAAAACCATGATGTCGTGTACACATTGGTGTGCATGTAAAAAAAAAAACCTTGGCAGCTGGAATTCGAGACAAGATTAGACCATATTGCCGTTGTCCTGGCACAATTTCGCCCTTAGTACCTCTTAGCACACTGTATGGCGTATGTCCGTCTTCATTCGGAGCAGAACAGTAGGACGTTAAACTCCATTTCATTTCCTATAAATCATATCAAATCACTTAATCACGACGAGGGTTTGACCACCTTATGCTGTCATAAATGGCGGGGTCGCGGAGATAATTTGCTGCGAATATTGTAGTAGGTAGTCTGGATAAGAGGAGACGGAGGAGCTTTCGCAGTGTAGCAATCAGATCTTTATCCAATTGTTTCTACATTATCTCTATTGTAACGCCACCCTGTGTATATATAAAACCGCTGATCGTCACTGTAACGCAACATTGTGGCCATGAAGACTACACGGGACGCTACTCCTAAGAAAGAGCATCCTGTCTTTATCTAAAGGAAACGGTATTGATTACGTCTCTTAATCGCTCACCCGTCTCCGACCTATGCGAGACGAGCCTCTTATTTGACTCCTCTTGCAGGTTTTAACACTTGTCTGTAATATCATTCTGCGATAGGTGGAAGCGGGCGTTATGTCTCAAAGAATAAGACACTACAACGTTTTATTATGTCCATTGTAACGCCATCCTGTATATATTGCAAGCCGTTGATAGTTATTGAAAGACTTTAGAGCATCTTATAATTAATATCGTCAAAGTTATTTATTTGATTAAAATTTATATTTGCACCCCCCTCATATACATCGGAACTGTCATTTCGGCAGTTCTATTGACGATTAGCTGATGGTCCACTTTCTGCGCTTTACGGCATGGCTTTTCATTGATACATGGTATACGATCCAATTTATCCACAGATATATTGCTTTCGGCATTTTCTGAATGACTGTTCAACAGCAGCTCATCAACGTTGTATGGATGCGTCTCGGTGACAACATGTTCAGGAAGTTCAAATTTCTCAAAGCCAATGGTTTCATCTGAGTTGTCCCCAAAGGTTTCATCTGAGTTGCCCCCAATGGTTTCATCTGAGTTGTCTCCAGTGATATCATCTGAGTTTACTGTTACACTTTCTACAGCATTAAGGGCTTCATTTGAACTCACATTTTCATTTCCTGCGCTGCCTTCAATTGACCCGAGCCTCCCATTTGCTTCTAACAGCATGTCCCTTGAAATATGTGAGTCCAAATTCCCTCTCAGTTTATCTAGTATCACATTGAGGAGTTTCCAGGTAGTGTGGCCTTTTTTTCGTTTTATTGTACAGTACACAACTACACAAATCACAATAAAGATTGTTATGCTTGTCAAGGCGATAATAACTTTCCATTGTGTTGCAGTAAGTTTCTTACTTTTCGTCTGCGAGCTAGTGTTAACTGTAGAAGAGACTGAAACACTGGATGTTCTTTCTACATCTGGAAAAGAAGCGGGAAAAAAACATTAAATATGATATGAACGATGCGAGCCAATTGCAATTTTACTGACTTTCAATTATAAAGACTAAATGAAATGTCATTGGGTTGATACTAAAGTAGCAACATTGCTATTAATTTAAAAATAAAAACCAACGACTCCCATTCTTCGCATGGTGTTCAAATAGGCATGGTATATAATGAACATGAAATAACATGGGGTTTAATGTCCTACTGTTTTACTCCGACTGGGCCAATGAAGACGAACATACGCCATACAGGGTGCTTTGATGGAAATTTTGCCCGGAAATGATCTTCTCTTCCGATCAAACATAACACTCCAGAAATAGAAACGTTTAACACCATTGGATCTGTCCTAACCTCAACCCTTATTGGCTGTTGTATATTATATGGGTTATTCCAGAGCCGGCCAGCTCAATGGATTCCTTTGAGATGGGCCACTCAATGTATCTTAAGCCAAGGAGCCAGGATGGTTATTTGAGTAAGACCCTGGGTCGGTAGCCTGGCGGTCACGGGTTCCCTCCCTGCGTTGGTCGAGAAAGTTCATCGGGAGGGACAACATACTATTCGTTCGGGTGGAACGAAAACCCGAAGTCCCGTGTACAAATTGGTGTGCACGTAAAATAACCCTTGGTAGTTAAAATTCGATATAATAATAGCCCTAGCGCCGATCTCCGGGCAAACTTTCCCCCATATGACATTGGGTGGTGTAAGCCCATCTTCATTAGCCCAGTCGGAGCAGATCAGTAGGACGTTAAACCCCATTTTATTTCATTTATATCTCTAGCCATGTGTTGTTATTTGAGTATTCTACTCACTTAGTGTACCAACAAATTCAACAGGTGGAGGATGCCTTACAGGCATGCACCTGTAATCCGGGTCATCTGATATATGATCACAAGCAGACACGTAAACCGTGTAACCCGGGTGATCTGGATAACAATACGAACATTTCTCACAATTTCCTGTATTCTCGTTGGCATAGTAACCTGGAAAACAAAACAAAAGGCATGTGAACTGTTCAATAAAAAAAAAGCAGAATAAGGTGTTCTAGAATTGTAAGCAATATCTGTCCAAAGCACGATACCGGTTATAAATAAATCTGGTCATTTGTCCCCTTTTATTATAAGCCATGATAAGTTTCTGATGGTTGGAGCAGACAAGGCTGTTTTGTTTTCAGTTCTCACGGCATTCTTCGAATGGCGACAACCCAATCAATCTTTTATCATTATCGATCTTCTAAATTTATTGGTTAGCACGTGCACGCTGTATCATAAGGCCTGTCATTGAGTCAACTGGCGTGGTTTCGAATCCCCGGTTGCACGTGATAAGGTGTAGGGTCGCGTGTCCAACCTCGTGGGTTTTCTCTGGGTCCTCCGGTTTCCTCCCACTGCTAAAGACCCCTACGCGCAAGCGGATTATTGAAATACAATTTAACCATAGGTTAGTCCCGAAATGACCTAGTTTGTGTCGAGTGGACGTTAAACCCCATTTCTCTCTCTCTCTCTCCTCACGCTCTAAATTTATTAATTCGTAATATATTTTTATACGGAAATGGTTATTAATTTTCATTCATTTTTTATTCTTTAGTTGTTTTCTATTTTCTTCAACATCAAACGTTTCACAACCAAAATCTGTTTTATGCCGTAAAAAAAACAACACATCTATACGCCTTTAATGTTTTGCCATTTCAAATAGTCAATCGTTTAACATATACAATATCTAACATTGTTTTAAACAGTAATTTAATCACCGAAGAGTTGAATATGAGCCTTAGTTGAAAATCGATTCTAAAGAGCTGTATTGCAGTTTTGCTTTCTGAAATATTTCCCTGGTCAGCCCCTTGGCTATCACCCAATCCGACTCCCGTCTCCACATCGGGGGACTAATTAGTTGAGGTACATCCTACACTGTTTGAACTAAAACAGGAAAATAGCTGTGGAAAATTTAATCACGGATTAGCCTTAGTCATATTGCGGGAATATTTTCCTGGTTATTAGAAATATCACACTCTCAGAGATAAAAGGAGATTTGTGTGATCAAAGAATAGACCCAAGAAACGCCGCATCCTATGTGAAACAATTCATAGGCTATTATAGCTTGAATAAGAGGATTATACGGACGTATAAATATATCACGGAAATTAATACAAAACTGATTATTCATCGATATTAATAATCGACATAATCCAAAACTCAAGAACACTCATATATATTATTTCTATGAATAATCCCACTTCAATCCGCTGGGGTGACTTCATTTATGAAGTGTCTAAAAAGGAAATATTTTCTTTTTTAAGAAAGAACTTAGTATATTTGAAAATTCATTAGTGTAATCAGTAGAGCACAAATACCCCCCCCCCACCCATTCTCAAAATGAAAAATAAGAACTGAAAAACTATATACACATTTGATACCATGCAATCCAACCTTTTTATGGACAGAGTGGTTAACGGGATACTGAAAATGTCGTGATGGGGAAAGATTTACCTATCGAGCAGCAGTTTCCTTATACTGAAAGTAAGGCGCATCCAAGGATTTTTGACATGCCCGTAATAAAGGGTGTGTCTGTTTTTGTTTTTTTAGGGGGGGGGGGGGGGTCGGAAATATATGGAATTCGCCAGAATGGTCACTTTGATTTTATTTGGACTGTAATGACCACAGAGTACACTTCGATTTTAGTTTTGGAATACAATCGTTGTGTTTGAGGATGCCAGAAACTGAAAACGTTTAACGCCAAAGGTCGGCTTTGAAAAGATAGGATCTCACACCTACACGGTGTAGTGGATGTCGAGGACGATGCTGGGTATACCGTGGGGCTAGTTAACGTCTGCTTTCTCTACCCGCCAAATTTTTAGAGAGTGAGAGAGAGAGAAATGGGGTTTAACGTCCACTCGACACAAACTAGGTCATTTCGGGACTAACATATGGTTCAATTTTATTTCAATAATTTGCTTGCGCGTAGGGGTCTTTACCAGTCTGGGGAAATCGGAGGACCCGGAGAAAACCCACGAGGTTGGACAGGCGACCCTACTCCTTGTCATGACGTACAACCGCGGATTCGAAACCACGCCAGTTGACTCAATGACAGACCTTATGATACAGCGCGCACGTGCTAACCATTCGGATGGAACGAAAAACCGAGGTCCCGTGTACACATTGGCGTGCATGTCAAAGATCCCTTGGCAGTTGGAAATCGATATAAGAGTAGGCCTTAGCACCGCTGCCCGGGCAAAATTTCCATCATAACACACTGTATGCCCGTCTACATTAGCCCAGGTTAGGAGCAGAACAGTAGGACGTTAAACCCCATTTCATTTCATTTCTAAATGCCAAGGGCTTCACTTTACTGAAAAAACACTTGTGTTGGATCTCAACACAAGTACTTGTGTTAAAACTAATCTACACAAGTTATGTGTTGTTTTGCATTGCATTAACACAAACTTGTGTCGATTTAGAAAATCTTGTGTGTTTTTTCATATCATTAACACAAGTAATGTGTACCTTCCACGATTTGTTTTCTTTTTAAAAAAAAACTCCATACAAAGTCTGAATTCGGGAGTCGTCAAGTTTTAAGAAAAGTAATAAAGGGCTTAATTCACATCTCGAAAATCACATGCTGTTCTTCACTGGAAGGGAGTGAGTACCAATTAATCAGACAATTGCCAGACAGACTTGAATGTTAATTGGTGTTTAGTTGTCTGTATAGTTAAAATGTCTGTCTTTTTTTATTGACCCAATAAACTGATAGATCAAATGAATATATAGTGTACATGTGATTTTCAGCACCCTGGTGTTTTCGAAAATTGATTCAATGTGCAATGAACAAAAAAATGAGTAAAACTCTTAATAATGTAATTGGTTGATGTAGGCCTAATCGAAATTGGACAGTATTGGTTAACTGAAAAGTAACCAATCAAATTTAATTGATCATCCACGTGTATCTCATAATCGACTTATTGATATAATGGTTCTCCAAGTTATCTATACTTTTTGTCTGCGATATCTCTTCGGTGGAAGCGGACCTAAAATACAACTAACTAAGAAGAAGTATCTATACTTTAGTCATTGCGACAAATTCTTTCTTTGATATTATATCAGCGACATTCAGTTAGAATGTTAGATGTAGTGAAGTTAGCATCAACAGAGTGCTTTAGCCGTGATATTTTTAAAAAAATTATAATGGTCACATAGAATACCAGACCGCAGGTTTGTAAATTTTTACAAAAAATAAAACCGTGTGTTTAATTTAGCATGTATATATTGCTTCTATGTATATAATAATTCGTTGCGTTTAAAACAGTCAGATTTAGAACCACTGCCACTGACTGCACCGGAAGTCTATTTATATAATGGCGCCACAATGAAAATTTTTTTGATGTGTTCTAAAAGTGTTCCGCTAATTCAGCAATCTAATGAATCTGTCTTAATTTTTCTGAAATCGTGCTTAATTATTACTAGCTAATCGGCGCTACACCGTTGTTCAAATACTTATAATTGCAAGAAACCCCCGACTAGGACCAGCAGGTAATGATGATGGGTTAGTTGTATTTTACGTCCGCTTCCACCGAGGTGATATCGCAGACAAACCAGCAGGTAAGAATCTGTTTTGATTTTATAGTAATACCCGGTTGCAATTATTGGCCGCCATCTTTGATTTTTATAGACGTTCGGGCAAAAGGAGAAATGTATATCCAGACATGGACTATAGCTAGATACTAACTTTTGTGTTAGTTGTTTAGTTGAAATGTAATCTTATTTCTGCAAAAGAAAAAAAACAACAACAAACAAATCAGCCTTTTTTTATATCAATGTCATCAATGTGTAGGCCTAATATTAGACTTTCAATGATTCAGAAGTTTTTCTACAGTTTCGTTATTTTTTTTCCAGTCATTGATGTTAGCATGTACTACACAAAGAAAAACAGGTAACAGAATTTCATTTCCTTTTAATATATTTTTTTAATAATGGCCAATAATTGTTATTGGATGTAACATGAAAAGTATTTATCTCTGTAGAGAGAGGGCGAGTAAATGGGGTTTAAAGTTCACTAAATTCATTTGACACAAACTATGCCATTCATTTCCTTGTATTAAATTGGTCGAATCAAGTAGGTCCATGCCATATATATGTCCTAGAATCAAGTAGGACAGGTAGTCTTCTCCGTTTCCGCCCTTTTCCTGAACACTGTCTCATTCTATTGCCATCTGTGTATGTTGTGTTATATTAATACTGCATAAACCTAGAGTTGTTGTTAGTGTTTGTCGGATAGATCCTTTATACTTACTGGCGCTAGGTAATTTCGAGGCTAATATTGTTCAATTTTATTTGAATGATTTGCTTGCGCGTACCGTTAGAAACAGTGTTCGCGCAGGTTCGAGAACGGCTGAAGAACATGAAAACACTTTCATGAGTCTCGAACATGAGAGAACGGTATCCATAGTAACAAGATGAATTAAATTTATACAATCTGTTACGATAACTTGTTTGGTATTGACTTCGCTATTACTGTGTGAACCATCGTAAATTTTAAACGGATTTCTTCGATTATGAACAAACTACTTAACTTTGGTTATTATAAACTTACCTGTGTGTTTGTAATGAACCCCCGTTCGATAAAATCCATTGCACAACTAATTATCACAATGAGGAGAACAAGTTCTCTCTTGAAAAATTTGAAAATTTACTTGTAATTTCGACAGAGTCGATGTCAACAATGTCTTCGTGACGTATTGGTCGAAATACCTGTTGCGGGGGTTGGTTAACATTGAAAGATAGTTTGACAGCGCGATCATTTTGATCGTATATGGGTTTGGGCGACGAAAAATATCAATTGAAGGCAATTACATAGGAGATTTATATGGAAACCATTGATCGCCAGTCTATCAAATTTTCTTTACAATTAAAATATCACTGATTGCACGGATACTCGTAAAAATAAAGTCATGTATAAACTATAAATATCCTATCTTCTTTATGTTATAAATAAT